CAGTTCTAAGAATTCTAAAGTAAAATGAAGCAGAAATAGGTTTTATTGTAGTTTCCAAGATTCGGAGAGCCAAGTAACACGTAAAAGTGATTAAACTACGAATAAACTATTACGACTTTTTGTCATTTAACGCGTCGACTTATTATCGTCAGAATTGTTCGCCGCTTGTTGCGGCTAAACAATTCGTTTCGAACGTGCTGTAAAAGGACATAGTTCGTCGTTAGAAAGCAGGGAACAAAGGAATACGGAAAAGAATGGTCCGTCTTAATGAATCGAAATGAAAAGATAGAGATAAAAATGTTGTCAAGTCAGCCGTGAACTTTGTACGATTGCTTCGCGTTACGAGCAGCTTGTTCACATTTAAACATATCCTCAATTTCCATATTACGAACGAAAGGAAAAAAAGGAAGAAAAAATATAGTTGGACAGGTCTGACGCGTAGAAAAGAAATGGTTTTCAGAAGAAAAAGTAAATACGAGAGGTATACTGCACACATACGCGACTCGCGATCGTGCCTCATGGGAACTGTTGTTTTACAGTTCGAAAGACAACGAAAAACAGGGACTCGAAAAGAGGATTGACTTTCCTGAAGAAATGAAATATCTAATAGACGTTGATACAGCGAGATATCCGATCGAAATGAGTCCGACTAATTGACTAATTGACTAATTGACTAATTGACTAATTGATTAATTGACTGGAAAAGTATACCATTTTTTGGCAGGCTCCTGATCACATTAACAGCCGCGTGAAACTTCTCCTCTGTCGTCATGGCAAGGTCCGTAGTTTTTCAACAGATAGATACACACGCCTGTTCGTTACTACGTTTCTTCGTGTCTTGTGTATATCGACCGATTCGAATCGAGTTACCCGGTGTTATTTCGAACGAAGACTTTTTCAAACAGACACATGAATCGGTCTATTTTGAAATTGAATGAAAAATTACATAAACAGGAGGTAGAACGAGCAAATGACAGATCACCGATTGATGACTAGCGATCGTCCGTCCGGTAATCATAGATTCACCACGGCGCATGCGCGTTAAGTGATTGGACATTTAACCCCTTCTTTGTTACAATCTGCCACTATTTGCCACCGGTCGCATATGGAACGAGAGCGCACGAGAACAGCTCGAGAAAACCAAGAGGTTGCTGTTATCGGTTGCAAAATTACAATACCGCAGGAAACGGTGAACTTTGCAAGATGCGAATGGAATTAAACTAAACTACTATAGCTTTCAGACGAGACTCTAAGAAATTCTGTAGTTCCGTTTTCATTCGATCAAATCGAAAGTTCCTTCTAAGTTACGTTCACTTCGGGTGTTCCTGTACGTTTACCTTGAACCGTGAACCACCTTGTCATTTGAAACAAGCTGGCTGGTCGCTTCAATTTTCTCTAAAACAATTGATTTCATCTTACCTACGAAACATGTTGATTCACATTAGAGAACCGATGCGTTCGGTTACCGCGTGTATACGGAATGTACGGCCGAACATGTTACGAGTCTAATTTCCCGATCGGGTATATACCATGGGTAGCGCCCGTCAGAGATCTTAGAGATTATACTTGCGTGTAGAAATATTTTTACAACTTTCATTTCTTTCTTTTTCGAACAGATTCAAGTTTTCCAAGGAAGAAACGATGTCGACCTATCGAGGTCGTGGTCGTGGTCGTGGATGGATTCAAGATGACAAGGATCCACCTCCTAAGCCAGGAAACCTGTTACGTACAGAGGATGCCGATTGTAATACCAATCTTGTTGATATCGTCAATAGCGTCACCGATGAAAATTTGGAGCAACAGGCTGAAGAATTTATAAAGCTTATCGATAGTGATTTCAAGTAATATACGGATGCTGAGTATCCGGTACTTTTTAATTACATTTAAGGTATGCCAATTTTCAATTGTATCAATTCGTTCCATCGATTATTTCTAGAGAAACATACGATAAACTACACGAGTGTGCTAGAAACGATAAAGAATTTGGTCAGAAGCTTCTACGGCTTGTACGACGTTCGCGTACTCATCCACAAGCGGAGTGTGCGAAATCCATGGGTATATTTAAATACGTAATAAATACTGTGCAGAACAATTATGAAGGTATATTAACGCATTGTTAATTTATGTAGTTATTTATCCCGACTAATTTAGTATATTTCGTTTCCAGAAAGGATAAAAATTAGACAGGAGAATACTGTTCAATTTTATAACGACATTTATCTACTGTCCGAACTTGTGACTTATTTTACATCGGGCTGTATGATGTCATGTGTACTGGGAGCAATGTTGGACTACATGGAAATGTTACTGGAAACAGCATCCGCGGAAGACATACGCATGTTCACGGAACAAGTATTTAAATAATACAATTTCACATTTCACTCGACTTCTATCGTTTACCGAAGTTAATATCGTATTTTCAGATAACCGTTCATGGAAAGTTGATCGGTGCCACACACAAGATTAAAATGGATGAATTAATGATAATGGCCAGACAAGTACTAATCAAAAATGATTTCTCACCTACGTCTCGTCAAATGTTATTGTACGCGATAGACTTGGTTAATCAAAATTTCGAACCATTACCTAAAAACTTACAAGAATTCTATGAGCTACAATTGGGGAAAAATTTCATACAACAGTGATTCTCGACGTAAAGATAATGGAAATTGTAATTTCAGTCTAAATTCGAAAGAAGATTTTGCGATAATATATATATTCCATCGAAAATTGTACGAGATCGTTAGATGATAACGTCGAAAGAACGTCGTTTCAGCGATCGAAACTTAAGAAGAAAATAAAATAGTAATACTCGATTGAATTCTAAGAGGTGTAGAGTGGTCACGTCAGAAATAACAATCACGCCAGAAAACGTAAATTCTGCAACGAACAAAATCAATTCTGGAGAATGTTCACTGGTCTATGTGATATTACAATACGATGCAATGTAACGCTACATTGGACGAAGATTCTATGTATAAACGAGCAGGAGATTTTATTATAAACTTGGACTGTTATTTAGGATAAATACTTACATATTTACCAAAGTAATAAATATAAGAATAAAAACGCAACACGAAAATTGACCATATCACAACCTAAAGTGGTTCTAGTCTGGTAGAAGTTTGAGGAGGTAAACATTGGTATAAAAATAATTCTATGTTGCGCTAGTTTTAAGGAAAAATTCGATCGCATTTATTATATTCAAATAACTCATTCAAATAAAATTTGTGCGTATCGTATTGTAGTGCAGAACACGTTCATTTTCCCCCTATCCTTTCCCCCTAGCATTTCTAGAAGCACTGCAATCCCTAATTTCAAATCTGCTAAGAAAAAATCATAATCTAGAATTAGAGCGAATTCACGATTGCGCGACCCATCGTCGATCAATTCCAGGAATTAGATAAGTTTCGAAAGTAATTTTTTTCAATAATTAAATATCCAGAAGGATAGCGAGTAAGACTGGAAATTGCCGTATATTTGTTTTTTCTTTCCAGAAGTCGGGGAACAGAATGAAATGTTTTCCTTCTATGTAGAATCAATCCAAATGTTCTATAATTAACTGTTGTTTGTGAAATACTTGATAAAAATTTGATTATTAACAGAGAATAGTCGTGTTTGATCTATTGAAATGCCCACTTCCTTATCCCGGTTTGCTCCCATGGCGCCACATGGCGCCACATAGCGCGAGACCGGTGAAACTTGTAGTGAAATAGTGGTATCGGAGACTGTCCGCTAGATGGCGGCACCACCAATTAACCAATTCTGGGAAACGGTCTATTTTGCCATCTAAATATTAATTGGTTGAAACGATAATGTAATCTCTCTGTCGGTATCTTGGATACATGCTTAAATCTATACGGAACATTATTTTATAGATGATGAGTTTGTATCAGCAGATCTGAAATTAGGGCTTTCAATGGTCTACCGAGAAATCTCTGTTACAATTGAAACAACCTTTTTGCCGAACGTTCTTAGATATATCTACAGAAGAGAAACTCAAATATAATTCTATATTTTATACGTTACAGTGTTACTTGCTTGTCGATCAAGAAACACTTTGCAAATAAACAATGAAATCTTGCAAGCTTTTCAGTGGTTACCGCTAGTGTGGTTCTTCCGAAGGATAGAAGTGAACGAATGGTATCGATATGAAATTGAAATAAAAACGCTTATCGATACCATGTATAGATAGAAACGAATAAAATCTAAATAGTTGAAATAGTTGTGTTGGAATAGTTTGAATTGTTCTCGCAATGGGCAAGTAGCCAAGTGTACTTACTGTCATTCAAATATTTCACGAACGAAAGCGTGTCCACTGGGGACCAAGAAGAGCTTGATCGTATTATACGCGATACATTTACAAAGTAGAACTTCTCTTTCGAGAATATTTCTACGAATATACACAAGTTCTATGAAAAAAAAACTGTACGATGTCGTACGATAGATACGCGTATGCGTAAGTAGAGGAACATTTGTACGTCGCACGCAAGTAGATAGACGCATACACACAGAGAGAGAGAGAGAGAGAGAGAGAGAGAGAGACATAGAACTCGTCGTTCTGCATTAGTACTGGCTATAATAACTCAGGTTAAATAGAGACACCGAAACCAGGTGAAATGCCGCGGCGTATTGTCAACAGTCGCAGGATTGGGTTTTGACATCGATAGGTGTGGATCGTTCGCGTTTATGGAATACTGGCTGTGTACATTTCTATCGTCGACTGCCGAGAGCAGTGTATTTAACGGCAAACATGTTTGATCTGCATTATATAAATGAAGACCATCGTATTTAACGTGGCTCAGTGGCATTATCGTTTCTTGAAGTGTTCTGGCTTTCGTCACCGTTCTATCCGCCAGAACAACTTAACCTCGGCAGAAATATGTTTCCACCGAAAGATATTGCCAAGACGGATTACATTAGCTTAAATATTCAGGAAGGTGCAACTTTTACACGTGGAACGTCCCGCAGTCTTTGGAGGGTAAGGCTCTCCGATAATATTTACACTTTTCGGAATACCTTTAATTCATATTTCCAGCGTAAAATGGGAACGTTTGCGCACAGATTTTATACGTACAGATAATCAACCTTTATCCCTTCTTACAGCAATGGAATCAGTTGTCAAGGTTTCAAAGAAACATCCTTTATTTCATAGTCGTTACAATTATATTAATTATATTTTATTTGTTACCTGGTGATAATAAGAACGGAGTTTTGGACGAAAGCGATTACAACAATATAGAGATAGTGCAAGACACTTTGAAATACGAGAAGGTACGAAAGATAGAATAGATTGTCCTTGAAACTGATATATTATATATATTATTTGGTACAGCCTACAGAAATTTAGGCAATAATGGAATTTATAGGCAATAGAAGACATCGTAGTGGATAACGTAAACCAAGAACGCAAAGATGGCGGAGAGGTCATAGAAGAACCTGAATTCCAACCAGAGATAAATCAAGCGGACGACGATCAAATCGGGGAGCCTCCACAACCTAAACCGAACGCGCTTAAATTCAGTGGTAACGTTACGGTTAAGAAAATGTCGAGGAAACTTGATTTTTCTATTGGTTTGTCGATAATTTAACGTTAAGCTCCCTAAATTTTAGGTCCGCAAAATAATCGACAAAAAGCTATAGTTGCGGCGTTTAAGCATTCATGGAACGGGTACAAAGAGTATGCCTGGGGTCACGACAACGTTAAGCCCATTTCCAGAAAATACCATGAATGGTTTGGCTTGGGACTTACTATAGTCGATTCTCTAGATACCATGTATATGATGGGTTTAAATAATGGTAGGATTAAATACTTTTAGTAGATTCCGAATAATATAATTTTCATTGACGCAAGTTTATTTTATAGAATTTTTAGAAGCCAAGGCATGGGTCGAGAAAAGTTTGATATTCACTCTAAATAGGGACGTGAATTTATTCGAAGTTACCATTAGGGTATTAGGAGGTTTATTATCGGCATATCATTTATCGGGTGATAAGATTTTTTTAAATAAAGCTGTAAGTCTTTCTAACGATATTTTATCGAGAATATTCGAATGTGTCTACGTGTTACGCAACTAACGGTTGTTTAGCAACTGTTAAAAGAACGTAACGATACATATATATACATATATATATATATATATATCGGTTGTAATGTTTATCATCGTACAGGCACAATTAGGAGATCGTCTGATGCCGGCGTTTTCCACTACATCGAATGTTCCTTACTCCGATGTAAATCTTGGAACCAATACTGCGCATAGTCCTAAATGGGGTCCCGATAGCAGCACTAGCGAAGTCACTTCGATTCAATTAGAGTTTCGAGATCTTAGTCGTAATACAGGGGAACCGAAATACGAGGTAATTCTCCGAATACGTTGATCGTTTCTCGTTACTAATGCTTATGCCTCGAATCGTACGATTATACGACAGGAAGCGGTAGCGAAAGTGTCGGAGCATGTTCATCGTTTAGAGAAATACGATGGATTGGTGCCCATATTCATTAATGCGAACACTGGACAGTTTCGAGAGTTTGCAACAATCACGCTCGGTGCACGCGGCGACAGTTATTACGAGTATCTATTGAAACAGTGGATTCAAACGGGGAAAACTATCAATTAGTTAGTGTGTTTTTAAAAGTATACAGTCAAGCGTTCACACGTATTCGCGACACGATTCAAATACATTCTTCTCTCGAAATCTTTTCAGTCTGCGAGACGATTATTCGTTAGGTATTTCTGGAACTCTGAAACACCTGGTAAAACAAACTGCGAGTAAAAAGTATGTTTTCATCGCGGAACTGGTTGGGGCGAACAAAGAAGTAAAACCAAAAATGGTACGGCGAAATCCAAGTATTTTCAGATAATTTCAGATACTTTCAGATACTTTCAGATACGCGAATCTGTTAGTTTAGTTTGATTTACTTTAACGTAAATGTAGCGGATAATTGAATTTACAGGATCATCTGACATGTTATTTAGGAGGTACTTTGGCTTTGGGAGTGCATCACGGTTTACCTTCCGAGCATATGGATCTTGCGAATGAACTCGTTAAAACTTGCTACCAGACATACGCGATTCAACCGACATTTCTAGCGCCAGAAATTACTTACTTCAATATGCAGGTAATACGACGGTGTATCATCGGTTCTACAGAGATACACACACTCGTACCTATGCGACTTGTAAATGATTTTGCTTCGTGCACAGAATGCCGAAGAAGAGAAATCAATGGACATGTATGTGAAAATACACGACGCTCACAATCTATTGAGGCCGGAATTCATCGAAAGCCTGTTTTACATGTGGTACTTTACTGGAAATAAAACATTTCAAGATTGGGGATGGCAAATATTTCAAGTGAGCAACGAATCGATCTTACTCTTTTCTCTAGAGATTGTTATGATTATTACTAAGGATTAATTATCGATTCGAACGCGGTTTCGCAGGCTTTTGAGAATTACACAAAAGTGGAGAAAGGCTACACCAGTATCGGTAACGTGCGAAACATTTTTAATACTCGTCAGCAAGATATGACTGAAAGCTTCTGGTTCGCTGAAACTCTCAAGTACTTGTACTTGTTGTTCGATGACACGAGGCAGTTGATAGATTTGGAGAAATGGGTATTCAATTCCGAAGGACATCCACTTCCCATATACGAATCGTAATTCGACGCGCACGCTCGGTAGAGTACTAACTGTAAGTATTTTTCAAGGCCAGTCAAACGATCCGAGGACAAACCATTAGTCGGATCGAATTCGTCCGTTGGCACGAATTTCGAAAGATTTCTAAAGATTTCTAAAGATTTCTAAAGATTTCTAAAGATTTCTTGCAAAATTTTTCTACAGCATCATGCTACACAATGAAAAGCACACAGACCTTGTACATTACCAATTATAACTAATTAACCATTTATACAGACTTTTTTTTACTAATTTCCCCGTTTAGAAGCGAACATTTGAAAAAATCGAGTGTAGAACAATCTGTGGTAAATAGGTTGATATTGTAGATCCTATTTATGGAAAGTGTATGAAAATTGTTGAGTACAATCTTGTAAAATAGAAAATACTCTGTTATTTGTAGCCTAACCAAGACACCTACTCCCATTCTTTTCTTCGTCTATCTCCATTTTCAAATTGAACATTACTCGAAGAGGGTAAATCACTCGAAGCATTTTCAAAGATCCTAGTCAAAGCTAAACCATGCTTTTATTAATAAATACAGGATATTATTGCATTTCTCTCTCTCTCTCTCTCTTATTAGAATGTAGTTTTTATTTATTCTATGTACATTGCAAATGATATTATCGTGAATTTTATAGCGTCGGTGTATTTAGGCAGGAGATTAAGGAAACATTCTTTATGCTATCTAAACGTATTAAATCGGATAAATGTCATTTAAACGGAGTTTAATCGATAGGCAAATGTAACGTGTACAAAATAATCGATAGAACGTTTTTCTACTATCACGACAGTGAACAATTGTACATCCTTTTCATTGTTTTTATTCTATTTTATTGTGTTGTATTTTTATGTATTTTATATTATATTATATTATATTATATATTATATTATATATTATATTACATTATATTACACGATATTACATTATATACTGTATCAAGCGAGACGAGATGAGACGAGACGAGATAAAGTGGAATGAATTTAAATAAAATTAAATTAAATTACATTTGCATAAATATCAGTCATACTTATATGTCCCGAACGAACGATCCTCGAAGAGCTCGATTATTCTCCATCCAGCGAAAAACCTATGCCTCTTGGAAAGTAAACGGTTTCCCGTAACGTTGAATCATCGATCGATCAAGAATAGAAAGCATCGATCAGGAAAGAGTACCGTGGAACAGGACTCGGATCCGTTCTGGAACTGTGCGTCTCTATCGTTTGGAAAGCTTGCGAGATTCGAAACGTATAAACTAACTCGCGAGAAGCCTCTGGTATCATGGCAGTGTGATTTCACATGTACGTATGCGCTTGCGTGTCGCCGGAACTTGCTAAAAGCTGAACAGTACGAAAAATACGAGAAATCTGAATCTATTATATCGAGAAGTGTTACGGCACTTGAGCAGCAGTCTTTCCGAGCGAACGATTACAAAGTACTTGCCTACTATGTCTACTATGCGTTTCAACGCGTTTAATAATATCGTTTATTCCGTACACAGTAGCTACGTATACATGTAAACAGAGATTCCTCCTCCCGATTCGACGCGACAAATGTTTAGTCGCGCGTCGCGAGCATTCAGATAGAAAAATAGAAAAATAGAAAAATAGAAAAATAGAAAAATATGGAAATGTGGAAATGTGGAAATGTGGAAATATGCGAGTATAAAAATATTAAAATATCACGCACTCGCAACACTGCTGCGTGAAATATATACAGTCGACGATACAGGAGTTGTCGTTCGGTCGAACGACCGGTTTCTTCTCGTCCGCGTCGATGCCGTTCTTCTCGATTTTCGGCTGAATTTCGGACTGAATTTCCGGCTGACTCGGGGACCGCAGGTGAAGCGACGAGTCCGATTCGCGCTCAGACTCGGTTAAAATGCTCCGTGATATCGGCACCGTGCAAACGGTGTCGTTCTCGATCGTCTCGGTGTCGGTGGTGTCGGTCGAGTCGAAATTCGAATTCAACGGTTTACTCGTCGCCGAAGGTGTGTTGGGTGTAGTGGGTGTGGTAGGTGTGGCCGACGTGATTTTACCGAGACACGCGTGATCCGGTACGTCATAGTCCACCAGCGGTATAGAATTCCTGGTCTGCAGCGTCGTCGAGTCGCCAGTCACGATCACACTGCAAGCAGAAATGCCTTTTCTTCGTCATTTCGAAACCTTATTGCTTTATTGCTCGACGATTTATCGAATAGCCAAGAAAACGAGAGTTCGCTCGCGATCGTTCGGTTCGTTTCGTTTCGTTTCGTTTCGAAAACAAGATACAGTACCATCCTCGACTGTCGTCGTCGCTCTTTTCCAAGAATATCGTTTGTTTGTCGCGCGTTACGCCATCGAACGCAACCAATTTCTAACTATTTTATTATTACCATATCTTATTCTATCATGGAAAACAAAGAAACGCGCGAAAAAGGAGTCCGCGCCGTCTTCTTCCTTTCCTCCCCTTTCCGTCTTCCCATCGCGTACGCTGCATACGCGTGGGCGCATTCGAGGAAAACTGGCGAAAAATCTTAGAAAGAAAAACATACCACCTAGCTTTCGTGCACGGTTGCATTCTACTCTTTTCCTCCGACGTCAGAGCGGTATAATAGAAGACTTGTCTGTCCATTATCGATCGATCGGACCGATGCTTCGAAAGTTAGATCCTCTCCCCTCGGTGGTGCGAATCGCACACCGCGTTTCACGTGCTCGTTGCCGTTCTCTCCCTCTTCCTCCTTCTCCTCCTCCTGTTTCATTCCAAGGAACAAACATCACCGGTCACGCATTTTTCTTGATCCGCGCGCGCGGCTCGTTTTCTTCGGTACTTTCGAAGTTAGCATCTACCGATTCTACCTCTCGATCGAATCGATTCGTTTTCCATGCCGGTACCGTTACGGGGAGGAGGAGAAGAGGAACGAGTGGAAGGAGCATCGAAACGTTGCGTTTCGAACGAACGCGACCGATACGCCTCTACGAGCGTGCCATTTTCTCCGCAATTTTCAATCGCCGGACCGAACCGAAGAAAAGCTGGGCAAAGGAAAAGGGACCTGTTCTCTGTTCGAATCGATACAATTTTCTCGTAAAAGAAGAGAAACGTACGAAAGGCACGAGAGAGCGAGGCAACGCTACGTCGCACACTGTCGTTTCATTTACGATTGTCGCGATGGAAAACGATGCCGCTCTGCTGCTGCGGAAAACGTCATATCAGAAATAGGATTACGTTCGATGCCACGAGAAGATACCGATCACGAATCGGAGACGGATGTTCCAAATTGCACGTTCGAACACACTCGTCCTCTGTGGAAAATTGAAACGTAGCTCGCGGTAACGGATCGAGGCGCGAACAATTCGCGCGGCGTTCGTCGTTCAACTGCGCGCCATCCGACCTGGCTCGGAATGCCGGCGACGAAGCGCGTGCGTTAGGTTTCACGTGCTCGAGCGACAGCGCGATTCCGAACGTCGGACGAATCGTCTCGACCTTCTTCGTTTCGCCCGAAACGAACGATCGAACGAATGATGCAACGATAATCGAGTTACAAGACGAACAATCTCTACGGTTATTCCTTCGGGGGTTCGGGACTGCGGCTTATTCGTTATTATTCGAAATCTCGACACTCGATACCGTACAATGATATCCGTCGCCGAGTAAAAGGATCTTATCGAGGGCAGCTGAAAAAGAATGTTTGCTGGATGAAAGTTTCGCAAAACCACAACCGGAGTCGGTGTCGATTCTCAGAAATTACATAACCGGCCGATTTATTATTAGCGTCGCGATCGTCGCGATACTCCCGAACGATCCGATTCGCGCGTCACGCGAGCCTGAAGATGCTGCGATCGCTAAACAGATTTCTTTAGGCCGGCACACCGTTATTATTACAGGATCTATACTATGCTCGCACTTGCTCGCACTTGCTCGAACAACATGAGCAAATAAACGTCACGACCCGCGTCGTTTCAACTATCGAATTTGAAATTTGAAATTTTACTCGATCGATTCGCCAAGGGAGTCCCGATGCGTTGAAATACGCGTGCTGCGCGGTACACGATAAACACGAGCACTTTACTCGCGTACGAATAACGGTAGAAGAAAAACAAGGCTCGGAGAAAAAACGCTTAACCTCGAAATCCGCGGAATCGGGTTGCTCGTGTATCGACTTACTCGTAGGAGCCACGCTGTGCCCATGGATTCTTGAAACGCATCGCCCACGAATCTCGCGACTGTCTAATCGTTCGAACTTGAAACGGACACTCTCCTCGATTACACTCGCTTATATCGAAGAACCATTGGCAACGAGACGTTGCACGACATTTCGCTCCAACTGAACGCAAAACACTGCCAAGACCACGCGCGACAAGCGAATTTTACAGTGGGAACGAACAGGGGAACAGAGGATGAAAGAGCGCCCCCTCCCTTCGGCGACTAATTTCAAATTATCTAGAATATATAGTTTCGCCGATACAAGTACATACCCGTCTACACAGCTACGTACATAGCATATTTTCTTCTTTGTTGTTCTCGACGAGATTAAACGGAGCTATTTACACGAGTATCCGAGCACCGTGTACGTTCGAACAAATTTGGACAATGTTTGAAAACTACCTGTTAGATGTGTCCGGAATTTCTTCGACATAAACATCTGCACGCGTGGTAATTGTCCAGTCTTGCATCGTGAGTTGCTTCTCGCATGACAACAAAACGTGGGCTGCACTAGAAATGCAAACCGATCTTCCCAAAAGCGAACCTGTTTCTCGCTCGACTCGCTCTCTTCTCTTTGCTTCCTCTCATTCGATTATGCACATTGTCCTTCGCTCGTTATGCTATCTGCATATACGTAAATAGGCTCGCCGTTCAAGGTTCCTGCACGCGGCGCTCATTATCGCCTTTCGGTTTCTCTACCCGTCTTCCGTCTCAATCTCAAACTTTTTACCCGTGGAGAAACAAATTTTCATTTATACTATTCGCTTTGTTTACACTTTATTCTTCTTTCGTTCTAACATGACGCGTATTCGTATACATGTGCGCATATTATATATACATATATATACGTATATCAACACATGCACACACAGTCGCGTCTGACAATTATTACAAGTTTAAGCTACTCTCCGGTGAGTAAGACGTTTCTTAAGAGCCAAGAAAATATCAAATACCAAGTACCATTATACTCGTGGTACATACGTCTTCTCTTTTCTAGGAAACGGAAAACAACTCATAGCTAATTAAACCACGATCAAGACCGTTTCTTATCGTTGCGAAATCTCGCAGTATCGAATAAGAAATTTCTTTCGTTTCGATTATCCTGCACGTAAGACAATTCTACACCAGAATAACACACACGAATCGTATTCGACGCACTCGACGCGTTCAAACCGTTCAACCCCTTCAATGGCTGAATATCAACTGATGCCAACTGCCACTGACCGCAATGACAATTCTCACGTGTGGCAGAGCCATCTAGAGAAATACTATTGATTAAAATTGTTTCGCGTGCTCGCTAGAGGGCTACCAACATAATCTCAATTATCGCAAGTTGCGATATTCTTCGATGTATAACAGCAACTTTAGAGTTTGATCGTTTTCTCGAAACGTTTTCCGGACAACATTTGTAATATTCGCGCACACTTGTAACCGAACGTTTTGCAGCTACCCAAATAAAAAAAATTCTTCTCAGCCTTTCTCATGTTCTTCGTTACAAGTCTAGCCTTCTTGTTTCGTCTAGAAACGATCTATCCGACTTATTTAAAAATTATCTTTCAATTTGAAAGTTTAAGAAATCCTGCCGAAACGTATAAGCGAGTAAGTATTCGTATCATTTTTAATAATTACTGCGCATGCGTTGAAATTTTACAACACGCATCGCCTTCCTGTCTAGTAAGCGTGTCGTTTGTGGTGTAGGAACCGCTTTCATTTGCGTCTTCTGATTGGATTCAAGTTTTTCAAGTTACATCGCGCATCGCGGCTTCTTTTTATGTTTAACTAACTATTACTAGTAGTAAATAAGATTCCAGTAAAAGAAGAGCTAAACTGAAGAACCGTTTAGATTGAATATGGGTCGCTACACGAGGTAAGCAACCATGCGTGTATAAAGATCTTTCGGAGTACCTGTTATCAATATGCTCAAACTATTCAGTCTCGAAGTATTTGATCATGTATCTTGAATAGACTTCGAAACGTCCAATTTCGATCTCTACACTCGTACATGAAGCACAAAGCGCATACAAATGAAAATTAAAGTGCAAATGAAAATGAGAATGAAAGCGAAAATGAAAATGAAAATGAAAATGAAAATGAAAATGAAAATGCAAATGCAATTGCAATTGCAAATGCAAATTAAGATTAAGATTAAGATTAAAATTAAAATTAAAATTAAAATTAAAATTAAAATTAAAATTAAAATCAAAATCAAAGTCAAAATCAAAATCAAAATCAAAATCAAAATCAAAATTAAAATGCAAGTGCAAATGCAAATTATAATTAATATGAAAATAAAGATTAAAATGAAAATTAAAATGAAGGTGACGATGGAGATGAAAATGAAAGTAAATGGAAAAATGAGAATGAATACGATGCTTACTGGCAAATCGTACGGATGTTTTCTCCAATGATTTCCTGTAACTCTTCTACGACCAGTGTTTCTTTCATTAGAATTCTAGCAGAATGTTTCGAGTTGAACAATTAAACGCGGATATCTATTCATGTATAATTATTATAGGCTTCCATTCTCGTCTCAACGAGTACACGTATAGTCACAGTTGTAATATTTGTTTCAGCCGGAGTCGCGACAGAGACAGGAGACGCAGGTCTCGTACAAGATCTCGCAGTAGGTCTCCACGAGAGAGGAGAAACTGGGGTGGCAGCGGTGGTAGAGATCGAGGAGGTGGCAGAAACAGCCGTGGTCAACCCGGAGCAAACTTGAGGAAGCCTAGGTGGGATCTAAGCAGACTGGAACCGTTCAAGAAAGATTTTTATATACCGCACGAAGCAGTTCAAAATCGTGACCTACGAATAGTCGAACAATATCGAAGTGAAAAAGAAATTACTCTGAAAGGAAAGAACATACCTAATCCTGTATTTACCTTCGAAGAAACAGGTTTTCCCGACTATGTTCTCAAGGAGATTAAGTAAGTATTTTTTCTGTATTAGTTTTCTTTCGAGAATCAATTGGAAACTACAGCTCCAACTTTGAATGAACTTGTTCGAGTCGCGAGGTATCTCGTATCTTATATAAATCGAGAAAAGAGCATTCCATTTAACCACCGTTTGGCGCGCCCATGTTTCACTTACTTTCGCATTTCCATAATAAGGAAGAGCTGGAAGCGAGTATATTGCTAAAGTATCCTCTATAACTTGCAGGCGACAAGGTTTTACCGAGCCTACGTCGATTCAAGCGCAAGGTTGGCCAATTGCTTTAAGTGGAAGGGATATGGTTGGAATTGCTTCGACTGGATCCGGAAAAACATTGTCTTATATATTACCGGCAATTGTACATATTAACAGCCAACCTAAATTAGGCCGTAAGGACGGCCCAATCGCGTTAGTTTTGGCTCCTACTAGAGAGCTCGCGCAACAAATTCAGCAAGTTGCCGATGATTTTGGCCATTCTTCGGGTATTAGAAACACTTGCCTGTACGGTGGTGCGCCGAAAGGCGCGCAAGCTAGGGACCTGGACGGTGGTGTAGAAATCGTTATAGCTACACCCGGTAGATTACTGGATTTCTTGGAATCCGGTCGTACAAACTTGATGAGATGCACTTATCTGGTACTGGATGAAGCGGACAGAATGCTGGATATGGGATTCGAGCCGCAAATTAGGAAAATTATTGAACAAATTAGACCGGATAGGCAGACGTTAATGTGGTCCGCTACATGGCCTAAAGAAGTGAAAAACTTAGCCGAAGATTTCTTAAAAGATTACGCTCAGATCAACGTCGGTTCTCTTCAATTAGCTGCTAATCATAATATATTACAAATCATCGACGTTTGTCAGGATTACGAGAAAGAGAACAAGTAAGTTATTTCAGAAGAACAGCTTAAACCGGTAAATGACATTTCTATTTCGTAATTTCTTTGAATTTCGTAGATTGAGTACACTTTTGAAAGAGATAATGGCAGAAAGCGAGAACAAGACGATTGTGTTTATCGAAACGAAACGCAGGGTAGATGAAATAACTAGAAAAATGAAGAGAGATGGTTGGCCCGCCGTTTGTATACACGGTGACAAAACGCAGCAAGAAAGGGATTGGGTTTTACAAGGTAAATCGCCTGATCGTTGATCTCTCGCATTCAAGGATCGCACGGATCGTTCGTTAAAAGGTAGTTTTGGTTACTTTTCAGATTTTAGATCGGGGAAAGCACCAATTCTTGTTGCAACGGATGTTGCCGCTCGTGGTCTCGGTAAGTAAAATATTTGCTACAACATAATGAAATTCTAAGAACAAGCATCGTTGCCCATTTTCCTTTGGTATGGAGAATGAAATACTTTGTAAATTATATTATCTTTGAAAATCTTATTTCTGCTTAATCGCAGTGATACACAACGGATCTTGTTCCGATAAAAGCAAAAGCTACTTGTATTATTTTCCCAGAAATAATTATGCTAGCACACGATCGATATAATACGTAACGAACCATGCAAGTAGGTACGTACACGCGTAGTTGTGAAAGAAACCGTTTCACTTTTACATTCAGTTGCGGAACAAGACTTGGTTGTGCACACGCTAATTTACACTTGGACCACTTTATGTGCCAGAAGGATAATCCGATGACTTTATAGCAAGCAAACAGATAACTACTGCTACAGACTACTCGCATAGACGAAATAACTGGATAGTATTTTTAAAAAGAGGAACCCTCTTTTGTTTTTCTTTTCCCTCTGTTTTTTCCCCCTCGCC